TGGGGGGCGGGGCCGGCGCCGGGGGCGGAGTCCCGGCCTCACCTGGATCACCTTCTTAAAGGGACAGTAGGGCAGGAAGGAAACTTGTTAGACAGGTAATAAACTTCAAAAACCGGAGGCGTCTCGACTGAAATGAGACCGCGGGCGCCGCCTAGTGGGTGGGGTTAGGAATTGACTAACCCGGTCCTCGTTCTAACCCTACCAACCTAGTCCGGATCAGCTTTTAGCCTAATTCTACCTGGGCCTGGAACTATACACCCTTGTATTCCTCCCTCTCCCTTACTCCCTTGCTGTAGCAGACGCCGGGGGAGGCAGGCGCTTATGCTCTCGTAGGGGAGGCTTAGATGACCATAATGCAAGGAGGGGTACAACCCTCCTAGAAGCACCTAGAAGGTTGGAAGAGCAAGCAAACCCCGGCAGGTGGGGCACTTCAGGTGAGTCTTCAGGAAGTAGGCGTTTTGAGTTGGATTTTCAGTGGCAGAGATTGAGAAAGACATGAGCAAGGGCCTGAAGGCTGGGCGCCTCAGGGTGCGTTCTGGGAGTGGTGAATGGACCAGTCTGACTGCTGGGGCACAGGATTTGTCTTGGGATCCAGGCAGAAAGGCAGGTGTGGGCCAGAGCTGGGAAGGTCTTGCTAAACACCTTAAGGAGTTTGAACCTACCATGCACTTTACAGAGCAGACGGGAGGGACAAGAGGAGCTGAGGGCAAGTGGTAGAGCAGCGAGGGAGCCAGCTGGCTTTCGCTCCGTCAGGCGGTGTCAACCCGTGGCTTTCTCATTGTCTTGGAGACTGCCCTACATTATGTTTAATAGCTGCTTATTCAGTTTCTACTTCCCATGCATGAAACCTGAAAAGCATCAAAGAAGAGTAAGACAGTCCTTGCCCGAAACAGACTATAAATCTGAGGAGTGTTGGGGGCTAGGGCATAAAGCAGCACGCAGGTGACTAAAACGACAGGCAGGAGTGGACCCCAGTGAAGGTGCAGAACAGGGGGGACAGTGGCTTAAAGGAGAGTGATGCATTCACTGAGGACCGGCAGCGGATGCCGCTCACAGGGCCCCTCCTTCCCACACCCCTCCCTGGCTCCATCCCATTTGGGTGAATCATTCATAGTTTTTCTATTATTTAAGTTGTTGCATGTTTTGGTCATTGTGGAGGAAGGGAGGTGGTGCGTTCTAGGTGCTTATTTTATTTTCGGAAAGTAATACTTCTCATGTGTGTGTGTGTGTGTGTATAATGTCCCGACCCAGACTATCCTCACTGGCATAAATAAATAAGTGTAATTCGTGTACACTGGTTGGAAAATTCACGTCGAACAGAAAAGAAACAGAACAGGAAGTGGAATCGTCCCTCCTCCCACTCTCCAATCACTGTCCCCAAAATTTACCCTCATCAGTGTTCCTTGTGATTCTCCCAGGACTTTACCCCCTCCGTACACACCATCGTGTGTCTCCCACTACTCTGCATACATACAAGCTCTTAGAATGTAGAGCTAGTGGGGTCGCGGGATCCAGCCCTGTGCACCAGGGGCCCCTCCTTCTGATGCAAGGACTTTGAGGAGGAGGTGGAGGCCCCTGCGGGCTCACTGGGGTCAGAGCTTTGTGATTTCAGCAGGGAGGAATGGGCGAAGGGTGCACGGCCAACAGAAGGGGGGAAATGGAGCAAGCTCTGGACAATTGCTGCTAGGAAATCAGCCAGACTGTGGTGAGGTAATGCGTGTACACGGTGCTGTAGTTTGTTAAAGTTACAAGACCCTGGAGACTCAAGGGGGTGGGGTAGGGGGGTGTTCCCCCAAGGAGAGGTGGAGTCCGAGTGAGTCTTCGCTTTTGTTGAAGATTGCTTCTCTGTCCTGGGTCTGGAAGCCTTGCAGAGGGGGGAATGAGAGCACACCTTCTAGCTCCATCCAGCATGATTCCAGTTGACAATTCCTCATTCCGTTTGCTGTGGGAGGAGGCACGCCTTCCATCCGGCCTCTGTCCTTAACCAGCAGTGCAGCTTTTGTCGAGTTATTTACACTCTCTGGACCTGAGTTTCCTTAAACCGGGGTGATCTCTGAGGCCATTTCCAGGAAAGATGGTGGGGTCCGGAGTCAGTAGACTTAGCCCAGCTCTTTCAGCCGGCATATGCCGCCTCTCTGTTTCCTTAGCTATGAAGTGGCAGTCACCATGTCCCCCTCACAGGGTGGGCATGATGATGGAAAGCAGTGGGGGAGGAGCGTGCTTCGCTCTCTGTAAGGTACTGAACAAATGTCGATGCGCTGAGAGAATGATGGAGGCTGCGGGAGGCCGACGTTTTGCCTCCCGCAAATGCGCCTTTTGGGATATTGATTTTGAGCTGGTTATTGCCTGCCTGAAGGAGTTCAACCAGGAAAACCTGCTCACCGGAAGGGAGCGTAACCTTAGCACCAGAACATAAACGAAATGTGGCAGACGGGGAGAAATCTAGCAAGCCTGCTTGTCGAACTTCCCTCCATGTCCCATTGCTCCTGGGTGGGCCTGCGAGAATCTGTTTAGCCACGGTTACTCTTTTTTTTTGAATTGCCTGCTTTCCTTTTAAAATCTCAGACTCCTGCCCTGTCCCCTTCTCCTTTGTCCAAAATGGCAGGTAAACCTCCACTGTCCGATGCATCTTCAGGTATCATATTCTTATGGCATCCCCGCATGTGCATCCATAATAAATTTTAGACATTTTCTCCTGTTAATCCTCTTCATGTTAATTTGATTATTTGCCTGGCTAGAGGAACTTAGAAGGTGGGAAGAAAGTTATTTTTTGTGCCCCCACAATGGTGTGACTTACCGAGGTTCTCCTTACTGAGGCCACTTGGGTGGAACAACCTCTACGACTGAAACACCCATTTTTTTCCTTTTAAAAGCAACTATTATTACAAGATAATTTGCATAAAATAAGTTGCACCCAGTCCAAGCATACAGTTCAATGGGTTCTGACGAATGCACACACCCTGGTAACCTCCGCCTTGGTCAAGTTACGGGACACTTTCATTCCTCAAAAATTGCTCCTGTCCCTTTGCAGTCGATTACAACGCTGGCCTCACGCTTGCTGTCAGGGTAGATAAGTTTTGCCTGATCCAAAATTCCACGTAGTCTTCTGAGTCCAGCTTTTCCCCTTCAGCTTGACACCCCCTCCCTCCCCTGCCGCCCACCCGTGTTGCGGACATTAGCAGTTTGCTCCTTCTGCTTGCCGACCAGTATTCCCTGAGCGGGGGCCCTAAGACATCCTTTGACCATACAAGTCAAGACCAGAAGGTCTTCCTCTGCTCCGCTCTCCCAGGGGCCATGGGCCTCTTAGCTGACGGAGTAATCCGGAGGGACACCTGACTTCTCTCTTAGGTGGAGAACACGCAGGTCATCTGGCTCTGCTCTTATCGTGCAGTCGGGAAGGAAAGCCTGCACGTCCCGACAGCCTGGCCCCGGCTTGCTCCCGCAGCCCCAACCTTAACGCAAGCCTGTTTACGTTGTCTCCCTCAACCCCAGCTCTGACCCCATCTGGCTTCTTGCTGACCTGGGATAGGATGGAGTCCAACCAGCCTGGGTCAAGGTCGTGTATGTCCGTCCATAAGACTCTGGTTAAAATTCTGCTTAACCAGGCGGGTAACCCAGGAAGCTGCCGGCAACGCTGTGAAAGTGTCAGTGCAAATTAGTTTATCAGACTAGTGTCATGTGCCCTAGCAAGGGCCCGTGTGGATGGGACCATGACGGCTTTGTCTGGGCCACATCGGACTGGCCTGCACTTGTAGGCAGCAGGCGCAGGAGACGGTGTGGGCAGCGCGGAGGGAAGAAACAGCCCTGTGCACGGCGTTCGGGTAGACTTTGCACATCTTTGATCATCAGGCTGGTTCGGTCCTCCCCTTTCCTTCTGTCTGTGCTCTCTCCTATCTGGTCTCTGATCCTGCTCTCAGGCCAGGCAGCAGGGGCGGGATAATCACAGCCACCGTTTATTACGGCACCTACGCAGGCTGCCGGCCCTTCACATGCAGTGTTTTATTTCCTTCTCACAGCAACCCTTTGAGGAAGGTATCATCAGCCCCATTTTCTAGATGACAAGACCCGAGGCACAGAGAGCTGAAGGTACTTGTTCAAAGTCACCCCGTTGCAGAGCCAGGATTTGAACTCAGTTCTGTCTGACTTTGGGGTCTGTTACCCCCACTCAGAGGTAATGAACATGGGGAACGCCAAACTTTTGTTTTATGCCCCACCTCCACCCATCATCCGAGGGTAACCAGTATCCTGTCTTAAAACGCCATGGATTAGTTTTGCCCATTTTCAAACTTTATAAAAGGTAATCATATGTGTATTATTTGGTGTCTGAGTTCTTTCATTTAGTCATGTTTGGGAGATTTATTCACGTGGTTTGTGCTGATTCAATCTCATTGCTGTATGCTATTCCATTGTATAAAGAACACCTTATTTTTAAAGACCTCTTGACTTGTGGTTAAACATTCTACACTTGAATTGCTCTACTGGGCAACTCCCGTGGTTTATCTGGCTAGTCTGGGTGTCTCTGAAAGAGGCTTAATCTTCCCAGAAGGCACTTCGTTTTTAAAAAAGACTTTTTGTTAGCCCCATGGCTCCTTAACTGCTTAAATACATGCAGAGGAGGTCTGTGAGCAATGTCGCTGGGCCCAGTGATCCCCCTCCAACTGTCCCCTTGCATGCCCCTTTATTCCTCTAAGTCACTTTGCCAAGAAGATGACACCTGATCGTGTTTAGGTAGCTGCAACCCTTATTACCAGAAATAGGACAGTTTTGAGATCAAGGCAGTTTGAAGTTTTCTCTGAGATATCAGGAGCGAAGGTACCTATTAGAAAGTTTAATGTGTCTCTTAATAGCCGTGTGATCTTGGGCAAATCATCTAGCTTTTTTGAGCCTCAGCCTCCTCATCTGCACCGTGGGGGAGATGGCGACAAACATAGGACCTCACAGCCGATGAGGTGAGTGTCAGTGTGGTAAGGCATGCAAGCAAAAGCTCCTGGTACCACCATACAGTTAAAGATGCATCTTTTCATTTTCATGTCCTCCTGTTCAGGGTTATTTGCAAGATGGGTCTGAAGACTCAAGGGAAAGAAATGTCTACTGAAGGAGAAGACCGAGTAGCTTCAGCCCCTGAATTCAAAGGAGTGTTTGGCTGAAGCTTGGATCTTAAGAAGAAGCAGAAGAAGCGTCAAGAAACAGCTAGGAGAAATCACTCGATCCACTTAGATGATGCGCATTATGGGCGTAAATGCCACTCAAATGCTTTCGAGACATACGGTGGTTCTCCCTGCATGTGTTTCTTTTTTCCTCTTCTTCTTTTTTCGTTTTTCTTTTCTTTTTAAAAAAATTCCGCCTCTATCTTTGCAACATTAAAATCCTCCAAAGCATTCTGTTTGTTTTAGGGGCAAGGGGGTGGTAGAGAAGCTGTGAGCCTGCATTGCATTCTAGCCTGGGCCGAGGAGAAGGGGAGACTGGGGTTGAGGAAGGGACAGTGAGTGGCAGCCACGCAGGAGGAGACGCGTTGTTCCTGGAGCCGATGGGAGAGGCAAAGGGATGTAATGGGAGTTCGCTTGGGGTCATGCATTACATCCAAGTGTGTATTTCAGTACGACCTTCACCTCAACACCGTCTGCGCCCCCATTCTTAACTGAGCACACGCCAAGGTAAAAATAAAACCAATTCACAGTCCTATACTATTTGGTTTGATTTCTGGAGTGGCGACTGGAAAATGCGGAGGGGGTCGGGCGCATGAAGCGGCGGCGACTCAGAACCCCTCATGCTAACATTCGTGTGTGTCTCAGGAGCAACCATTGCGTTCCTCCCTTGACTTGTCTGTGTGGCTGTCGGAGGAGGCACTGTGGCTAACTGCAGAGATTAAAATGCTGCACGAGTCCCGGGCAGATAGGAGGGAGGCAGGGGAAGGAAGGGAACAAACGTGGCTCAGGGAGCTGGGGCACGTCAGACATTTAATAAGAGCAAGCTGAGACAAGTGCGGAGCGCCAGAACCTTCTGCGAGAGGAGCATTAACTTGGTCCTTGTCAGAGAACGTTTGCTGGTTAGCCGGCGGGGAGAGAAAAAGTGGTAAACTAGCCGTATTAGAAAGTCAATTTTAGTGTGGCTAGTATGGGAGAAGACAGGGCTGAAACTGGCAGCTTCGTCTTCCAGATTAGGCTCACACCGTTTATTTGGAAAACTTACGTTTTTATTGCTGGTCTAGGCTGGGAGTTCTGGGGAACTAACCACCGAGGGCTGAATGTAGATTTGGCATAACCCACACTCACAGTTTTAAGTTACTGGTCTGGAGGTAACATCACACTGTTGTCTTATAAAAGACGTATTTGGTGAATATGAGCCCTATTCATTGAACATGAATTCGATTCCTTTTAAGTTTTGCTTTGAAGGAGTTTTTTATGAAGAGATTGTAAATAGGGCAATCTGTAATTTCTTCTAACAAGTTCTAGTTAGAAAGTTATTGTTTTCAATGTAAACATACAGAAACATACACATTTGAACATTCATATCCCAGCCACTTCTTTTAAGAAATGAATGTGTATTTCTCCAAATACATACCTGAGTCTGGAAGGGACCCAGGCCTTGGGTCATAAAGTCTCGGTGCCACCTGGTGAGGAAAGCAGGTGACTGCATGTATAACTTCAAATTTCAGGTATGCTATTAAACAGGTATGATTACTGTTTATAAAATCTCAGAATAGCATGGGACTATCAACGCGATATGAAAGTGGCAGCCATTTTCGCGTGTTCTCATCGTTAAGTGGGTGGGCTGTAAGCTAGCTAGTGGCTTTCTTAGCTTGCAGTGCCATCCCAGTAATCGTAGCCTCAGACAGGAGAAGAGCCAGGTGGGCAAAGAATCGAAGGAGAGGAGGGAATGTGCCATGCAGGTGGCAGGGAAGAACGACCAGCAGCGGAGAGGAGGGAGAAGGAGATAAGCTTGGACTTGGACTTGGCGTTGGTGGCAGCTTACAGCAGATTTGCAGTGGGATGAGATGTAGCCACCTTCTCCTCTTCGTAGAGAGCTTTCTAAGAAACGAAGTCCTGAGGTGGTGTTTTGGAGTCAGATGCTCGGTTTTCTTGGAAGGATGGGATGGGTGCCAAGGACCCATGACCAGGTCAGTCTTTTCGTTTTGCTCTGCTGCTTGTCACCTGGTACGAGAGCGAAACGAATGAAGATTTCACCTGCACTGACAGTTTTTCTTTCTCTCCGTTGAATGTGGTCGATTCTTGCCAGCAGCTCCTCTAAGCCCTGTGTTTTGCCCTATGCTCCTGCTCTGTGACATGGGTGGTGTGCTACACCTCCCAACAATCCAGCTGGATTGAAAACAGAGGTCACCACCTCCCACTCCTTTGCCAGAGGTGTGCATCCGTCCAGGAGCGGCGGCGAAGGTAACTCAGTTCTTTACCTGCCTTCTATTCCCTGGCGAGGATTTGTGTTTGTCTCCTGTTCCTTTGTCACTTTTTCTAACTTGAAACACATCCCTCACTGTCGTTTTGCAATTCTCAGAACCAAAAAGCAAACCAATAGGATGACAGAATGCCATTAACCTTGTCATTATCATAATTATCGTTTCCTTGATCTCTAAGACTCTTAAATAATTGTAACTGGCCCGTGGGGACAGCAGTGAACAAGCATGATAATTGTCCCAAAACTCTCTTGGTCCTTAGGGAGTGGAGAGTTTGATACCAAGAACCATGGACACTTACATGCGATGGAAGTGACCAAGTGTCCTGACTTTACTGCATGAATTCTCACTTCCTGCTGCCTTTGAGCCTCGCTCCTTCACTAGCTGTGAGACCCTAGACAAGCTGTTTGAGCTGTCCTGGCTCCGAACGGGGATAAGAAGACCTCACCTGAAGGTGGAGAAGACCACGTGATCTCCTAATGGCCCTGCCAGTATTAAGATCTATAATTCTACGAATGCCGTTTATGTGAAGTTCCCAGAAACAAAGTCAAAATCAATCCGGCATAATTTCAGAATTCCCACTCTCCATGGAAGTGTCCTAAGGAGGCAATACTAAAGAAGTGAGACAGTTTCTAGGTCAGAACACAGGTCTTTAAAATGTACGTCTCTATGTAGAAAGTTGTAATGAGGCTTCCTCTGCACGCCTCCCCAGGTGGCTCTGAGACAGACATCGAGAACTCCTTTGGAGGTTTTGTACGAGACGGAGCTGTGCTAAGCACTTCACGTACATGCCATTTAATCTTTATGAGAACCCTGAGGGGCATGCTTGTTGACAGCTCAGGTTATATACAGCTAGTAATGGTAAAAGTGACCTTCCAACCCAAATGGTCACACTCTCACTACGTTCAATGCTCATCTTTTTGTATTTACGTGAAGAGCGCGTTAGTGATAGCTAGGTCCTGGGGAGTCTGGGAACATTGTGTAAAGAAACAAAGATGCAGTAAGGAATGCCACCTAACTGGACACCTGGATGGCAGGGAACTCCATCCAGGTTTGGAGAGAGTGAAGGTGTGTGAGCTATCAAGGACGCTTCCTCAGGTGTCCTGAGCTACTTGTGTCAAGTGTGTCTCCTGAGGGGAAAAAGGCTGGTGTGATCACTTGAAAACTTGACTCTTTGAGATGGTTAGAAACAGCATGTTCCTCGGAGGTGGGACTGCTCCTCTAATTCTAGGAGCTGCAGGCTGTGGGTGGCGACCCGAGGACATGGGCAGCGGCCAGGACAGACGGCCCGGACAGACAGCAACAGCAGGAGCCCAACAGCTGTGGGAGCAGAACCCTGCACAGCTGTGTGGGGGCGTTTAAGCCCAGGGGAGCTGGGTGTGGAGGTCCACAGACCAGGCTGGCAGGGCACACAGAGCCTAGTGCCATTGTGATGCGTCATTTGTCCCCCAGGCCTTTGGGACCGGGAGATATAACTGTGACTTTTGCATATAAGTGGATCTTATAGGTTTAGAGCCTCTTCCACCCAACAGGCCTATATAAATGTCCTTTTTTTTTTACCAAAGGCGGCTTCCAAGTTGGTTTTTGGACCCAATATTGACCATAAGCCCAGTGAGATTCAGGGAGGGGCACTTTAGCTGGCCATAGCCCTTGAGACTGCTGTGATTTAGTCACATGGGACTGTGGGATGAGGTGTTCACTTCTACAGAGTGCATTGAGCCCCCTCCACCCTACGGTGATGGCAGAAGGCCCAGGAATCCTCCCTAACCCTCCTCTGATGCCCCTACCCGCTTTCTGTTATGTTTCTGGGGTCTCCCAATGCTTTGTAGGGTCTTGGTCTGGAACGGAGGAAGGGAGCTCCGTCTGGCTCAGTGCCATCTCATCTGTGCAGGAAATTGGCCTTTGTCTCCTGGGTATAAAGCCCAAAAGCTGGGAGAAGGTTTGGGGCCTCCCTTTGGCTCACGGTGATAATGCAGTATGTTCTCTGGAGTGGCTCACCTTTGGGTTGGAATGCCCACCTCCCACGGGTGCAGACTCAGTGGAGGGCCCCACTTGAACTAGGTTGGCACCCAAGGGGAAGTGCTTTCTCTTCCTGTCTCCCTTGCAGAAGGAAGCAGGATTCCAGGCGGGGCCTCACTGTGGCGGGCTGAAGTTCAGGCCACGATCACCGGGTGACCACTGTGAGAGCTCCGGCATAGCTTTTTCTCCTCAGCAATTCTTTAAAAATTTTTCTTATTTTAGGAATTTTAAGTGATGTAATGAACATCTGTGTACTTTCTCTCTGTACCCATTCAAGCATTACAAATAGAGCAGAAAACCCACCCTGATTTCATCCCTTTGTTATATCAGTTGATTTTGTAAACTTTTGGTCATTTTCTCCATGCATTTTTCTCTCTATATGTATATTACATATAATGTGATTTTGCGCATATATGTTTATATAATTGATATCAACTGGACATGCCGTATAAATTTCTCTGAAACAGCTTTCTTAACTCAACTATGTGTCTTAAAGATTTTTCGATATCAGCATATACAGATTTAGCTAATCTTTTTAAATGGACTTCTGAAACTTAATTATATGTCCTTTACAACAACGTAGCTCAAAGTTAATTTAACTCGTAGAATGTTAAGTTGAGCATTTTATTTTTGTAACTGTCTTTGGAATGTCATATTTTCTTAGTCTCTCTAATGTTTGCCTGCTTCCATGTATTTACTCACTGCTGCCTGGTGGTAAATAAATATTACCAGGAATAGGAGAAGCAAGGAGATGACAAAACACTTGTTACTTATTCTAAACAGCATTCATTCATGGTTCAGAAATTTGAGATTCGGTCACTGAAAAACGGCAAGTAGGTAAAGCTGGTTTCTTTTGGCCCCATGAGGCAGTGGAAATCGTTGTGAAGTGACCTGGAGTCCGATCAGATCGTCCATTCAGGGCAAAGGCAGAGCTGCCGCAGCCTCGCTGTATTGTCCTGGGCATGGGGGGTGGTGTGTGTGGGGAACACAGGCACAGACAGTGTATCTGACAACAAAAAACAAACTCTGGAGTGCACATATGGCATCCTTAAATCTGATTAAATGAGAGAATGATGTAGGTGAACGCCCTGAGCTTAATGTCAGCCACTTACTAGGTTTTCAATGGATGCTGGTTCAATTTGAGATGTATTTCTCTTCTAGAACTCCCTACTTAATACCTTGTGATTTAAAAAAAAAAAAATACACACACACACACACATATTTTTTCTCCTCTTACTTTTATTACCATAGTCTGAT